CACACACACACACACACACACATACATATATATATATATATATATATATATATATATATATATATATATATATATATATATATATATATATATATATATATATATATATATATATATATATATATATATATATAGCCAAATACGTTCCTTTCGACGCATATAAACGGCGTATATCTGATTGGGGATGGTATGTTAAGCATATATATCAGTGCAGCGCTGTATTGATACATACGTACACGTTATATTAGGAAATGTAAAATCGAGGAGCACTGTCGAGTCAGAAGATTCGCAATATTTAGCGAGTATAATAAACATGACTGCTAGTACAGCTCAAATGGCTGACCATCTCAAAGAACGAGAGCCTTCAAACCCTGCCTTACACATATAGAGACCAAACAAAGCGAAACGCTCAACAACTCGTGCAACACGGGCGCCTCTGGGGTTTATCGATAAATTAAGCAGTTAATGTGTTGTCAACAATCTCGCGTCAAATTAACCGAAGTCTCTATGTAGACATGTTGCATACTTAAGCGAACCACCAATCGAACGTACCAGTCCGTCGACGAAGTTGAGGAAATGATGTCTTGGTATGCAGACACGATGTCCTTGCCGTTTGTGGACAGATCTACAGAGGCCATCTTGTTTGTATCAATAAAGTACCGGTAGTACTTCTGCTTGATTCAATCGGATCACCTTTATCTGTTATTTAAATACAACAAGTTGTATCAATAAAGTACCGGTCGTAATTCTGCTGGTTCAATCGTATGACCTTTATCTGTTATTTGAATACAACAAGGCACAGGGGGGTTGGAAAGCGTATACATACTCTCGGACAACAACAACAAATGGATAGGTTCAAAGAAAAAGATTGTAAAATGATGACACACATCTGCGATCTAACTTTGCGATAAAGAATGTTTTTATATAAAATATCAAATTACATATTCACAGGACGAAAAACAAAAACAAAAACAAAAATAATAAAAAGCCACAGATCATAGCCCGCCCGCTCTATCGTCCTCTCTCTCATGATGGACAAGTCCGTAGGACTCTCTTAGAGTAGTGTTCTGTCTTACCCTCTAGTGTAGAGAGGCTATGCACTATGCAGGTTACCGAAGCATTCAGAAATAAATAAAGTTGGAAAGTAAATATAGTTCTATTAATAGAACTAGACCAACTCTTATGTTTGGTATTCTACTGAGGCCTTTTAATGGCCTCGTCCAAAAATCTGATATGAAAAAAGGAAAAGGTATTAATTAATAAAACCATTAAAAACCATATAGGAAACTTAAGTTCCTCGTACTATTAAGAGTACGTTTATAATTTACGTGCTGCTTAAGAGTACGTTTATAATTTACGTGCTGCTTAAGAGTACGTTTATAACACAAAGTCTAATGTGGAGGCCCGCTATTACAGTTTTCAGGGAACTGATGAGCAGGATCAAGTGCTTCAAGTGTCATAAACTAGGGCACATAGCTGCTAAGTGCCGTAAAGGAAACAAGTGACTGGAAGGCTCGCTGGGTGCTGCTATCGAAGAGAAAGCAAAGGGAGGTAGTGTTATTCAGGGTGCTGTCCAGGGTACAGATGCTGAGGTATATGTGGATTCAAGTGCCACTCCTAGTCTAGTTTCGGAGTTCTTTGT